GCTGCTGCGGAGTCACTGGGGCATCATCAGGCCAGGGCTGGAAATTCAGGGGAGAAAGCACCCCAGGAACTCACGAGGGAGCTAAGGCTGCCCTGAGAAGAGCAAGTTGAGAGAGGGTTAGGGTCACAGGGGTTCCAGAGGGGCAGGTCCAGTTTGGAGAGGCAGAGCTGGAGGCCACAGTAAAAGCGGCAGGGCCCTGGGTGAGCACTCAGCTCTGTGTCATCTCCTCAGGGTGACCTTGGGCACCCTGAGCCTCAGATGCCCTTCTACAAGAGATTGCTGCCTACCTGCAGCCCCCCCACGGAAAGCCCTGAGAAGGTGAAGCCCTGCTTTCTCACAGAAGGCCATACTCTGGAAGCAGAAGTAATGTGCCCATCCCAGAGCCTCTAGCTCTTGACCGCCAGAGGAGGGGGAGGGTTGTCAGAGCATCGGCAATGCCAACACCAGGCTGTGCTGGTCTCACAGCCGTCGCCTGGTCAGTAGGCCCAGAAGCAGTCCCACCTTCTAGAAATAGGGAGCTGAGACCTGGTTGCTGAGAAAGGCCAGATCAGAGAAATTGGTCTGCAGCCCCTCCAATCCCAGACGCCTCCCAACCACGCAGAGCCAAGCAGTGTCCAGGCTCACCCTTCCCTGCTGCGGTTTGTCTGCCCAGTGCCACGACCCAGAAAGACCCCGAGGCCTTCAACCAGTTGGTAAATGTGTTGGAAAACATTCATCTGTGCTCAGCGAGGAGTGGAGAGGGGTGGCCCCCACCCTGTGTCTTTATCTGTTCTTTTCATTACTGTAATACTTTCTTTATACACGTGTCCACACATGTAAATAATAATAACATCTAATCCTTAAGTAGAACTTCCCATGTGCCAGGCATTGTTCTAAGCATTTTCTGTGTTCATTCAATTTACACAGCTACTTGATATAGCAATCCATTTTACAGATGAGGAAACTGAGGCATAGGGAGTTGATTAATATATATATAATATATTTAACTTACATATGATATATATATAAAAGCTTTTACATCTTTTTTATATAATCGCATAAATTATGATCATATACATGTTTTAACATGTTTTTACAAATTTTCCTTTTATGTTTTTTTCTCCCCCCACCATGGAATCCATGTTACCATGCTGACGTGAGATCTTCTATATTTTTTATTTACTCACAATTATAAATGGACTTATATATGCTAATACCTATAATCACATGTACCTATACAAGTTTCCTTTTTGTCATTATTTTAAACTAGTGGATTATAGTAAAAAAAAATTTCTGCATCTCTCTTTTCTCACTCATCCATATTTGGAAGCCCCTGGCAGATCTAATTCACTGGTTTTCTTTGTTTGTTTTTTCCTCCAGAACTCTTCTTTTTATTTATTTATTTACCTATTTATTTATTTATTTATGGCTGCGTTGAGTCTTCGTTGCTGTGCGCAGGCTTTCTCTAGTTGCGGTGAGCGGGGGCTACTCTTCGTTGCGGTGCGCAGGCTTCTCACTTCGGTGGCTTCTCTTGTAGAGCACAGGCTCTAGGTGTGCAGGCTTCAGTAGTTGCGGCACATGGGCTCAGTAATTGTGGCACGCAGGGCCCTAGAGCACGCAGGTTTCAGTAGTTGCAGCACACGGGCTCAGTAGTTGTGGCACACGGGCTTAAGTTGCCCCGCAGCACGTGGGATCTTCCCGGACCAGGGCTCGAACCCGCGTTCCCTGCATTGGCAGGCGGATTCTTAACCACTGCGCCACCAGGGAAGCCCCTAATTCGCTGTTTTTAACAGCCACACACTAGTCCACCCATTGTCTTTCTACTTGGCCTTCCCGGCTCATGGTCATCCTCTAGAGTCCCATCCCCACCCCCCAATACATTAGGGAGTCTGATGGTGGAAATTCCAGGCCAGGTGAGAGGAAAGGGCAGTGAGAAGGCAGCAAGTGGTGTTTCTAGCTGGGTCTTGCCCATCCCCTTGCTGGTGGCCAGCAGCCCTCAGCATCTAGAGGCAGGAATGCTGACTGTGTTATTGTGAAATCATTTGTATATTGTGAAGTGCTTTGCATATGATGGAGCGATTTGCATATATGGGGGGGCGCATCTTAGAGATCCCTGAGCAGCATCCCTGAGTGTCTTCCTCCCTTTGCAAAGTAACCAGCTCAGGGCTTCCACTTCAGAACTCAGGGAGCAGAACAGGAGGGCGTCCCTCTAGACCTATGGGCCTGGTGGGTGAGGCAGATACGGGGCTTTCAGAGGAAAGCTGATCCCCCCTGGTAGGAGTTGGGGTTCGAGGAAGGGCAGATGTTGGAGTGTGAGGTGGAATCAGGCAACTGGTGCAGCCTGTGAGAGCCCTGTGCCCTCAGATCCCCCGGTAAGGGAGAGTGACACAGGAGGGACGAAGAAATTACCGCATGAGGCAGATGAGGGTCAGAGGCTGGGAGACTCCCATCCTGTCACTATCTCTGCCCCAGTGAGTACCCAAGTGCCCCTTGCTGAGTATTATATGGTCCTGGCTGAGAAGAATGCAAAGTGTAAATGCCAAGGCAGATTCCCATGACCCTATAAGTGAGAGGTGCTATCACATGCTCTGGGTTCAAGGACACCCAGGTTTGAATCGTGCTTCTGCCATCTGTGCTATTGTGTAACCCTGGGCTAACAGTATCCATCTCAATGGGATAGACTGAGGATTCAGGGAAACAATACAAGCAGAGTGAATGGCACGTCGTAGGTGTTCAGTAAATTGCAGTTATAATAATGCTATTGTTTGCTGCCCCAGTCTGAGGTGAGGGAAGCACAGAGCCTTTGCTCCCCCAGGTTTGGGGTTACCAGCAGCAGTGTCAGGCCACCGTGCATTGGACTCCAAAGGGTTACAAGCCCTGGAGACAAAGGCCTGAGGTTCCCAGTGAAAAACCAAAGCATAAAAATAATTCGATGAGTAAGAATAAAATTCCCTCTTCTGAGGTTCCCGGGGCTAGGCCCCTCCCTGCGGCAGTCACTTCCCCTTTCCCTTGCTCATGGAGGAGCCAGGCCGGGCTGACTCAGAGCAGGAGCGCCGCAGCCATCCTCCTACCCCGACCCCGTCCCGGGACGGCGCAGTCTGGCAGCAGAGCGCGCCCCCGTGCGGCCGAGGCTGGGACTGCCGCCCGAGAGAGGAAGCGGCGGGCTGACCCGCAAGCGCAGCCACCCAACTGCTCGCGGTCCCCGCGGGGCCGCCGTCTCCGCCCTGCGCAGCCGGACTGTGCTGGGTGCCCATGGGGCCCCTACTTCCGCCCGACCCTCCCCGCCGTCCCGGGCCCGCCCGAGCGGAAGTGCTCCAGCCTCCCGGGTCCCCCATGGCCTCGAGGCGGAAGCGCTCGCCCACCGCCGCTCCCCACGACCCCGCGGCGCTCGGCGCGTCGGGTTCCGGACAGGTCCCGTGTGACGTGGCCGCACGCTGGGGGCGGCTCCGGGCCGGGGGCCGGGCGGCCAGGCCGGGCGGGGCAGAGCCGGGGCGGGGCTCTATGCCGCAGCTGGATGGCCGGGGCCGTCCGGAGCGCCTCCGCCGCCGTCGCCGCCGCACGGTGAGTGACCGCCGCAACCCCAGGGCCAGAGCCCCTGACGAGACGGACTCTGCCGTTCCCCTTGCCCCCGACCCGGCCTGTCCAGATCAGACCTGGGCCTCTCGCCCAGAGCCCGGGAGTTAAACTTCCTTGGGCTCTTCTCCCCTGTCTCCCCACGCCTCGCTCCCCATCTCTCCCTCTCTCTCCGCCTCCGCATCCGTCTCTGGCTCTCACACTCTTGGCTCTCCCGCTCTTGCTTTCTGCTTTCCCTCTGCTCTCCGACTCTCTCGGTACCCCCTTTCCTGTCCCCAAACTTGTCCCCTGACCCGCCTCTGCCTCCAAGTCCGGCCTGGCGCAGTCCTGCCTTTGGTCCCCAGTGGAGCCCAGAGGGTTTCATCAGGGTTCCGTTAAGGCCTGGAGGTCCTAGACCCGAGCATTTTTTCCAGCTGCTTTCCCTCCCTCCCACCTCCATCAGCAGATGAGGAAACTGAGGCAAAGACATCACTGGCTCAAGGTCACAGCCAGCATGAGGCAGGGCAGACCACATTTAAACCTCATGCCTGAGTTTCCAGGTTGAACTTCCATCTTGGTTGACTCACATCCAGATCCTGTGATCCGCCTGCTGGGTACACTCTTGCTGCCTGGTGCTCCTGGGCTCCCGCAACATAAGGAGGGTTCTCTGTGCCTCTTCCATGCCAGGCACGCTCACCTGATTAGCAGGCTCATCTCATTTTCACCACTGTGTGAGGGAGGCAATACTTATCTCCCTGCTACAGACTAGGAGACTGAGGCTCAGAGAAGGGCTCTAGGGACTTGTCTGCAGTCAAGCAGCTGTAAATGCAGAGCACAAAGTCAAGGGCGGGTCTTCAAAGCCTGTGCTCTGCACATCTGTGAGGCAGCTCCTAACTGAAGAATCCTCTCTTCATTCCCACCTCCTGGCTGTCTCCGTGCCCCAGGGATATTGGACTCATTTCCTAGGAAGAAGCCCTGATGGTCTTGACCTAGCTCGGCTGCTTGGTTTCCCCACCTGCACCTCCTAACATTGCCCCATCAAGCTAGACTGTGCTGGCCGCCATCCCTGGGGGTGTCCTCACTGGGGCGCATCCTGGCAGCAAAGCCTCCCCTGGCAGCCAGACACCCAGCTGGGCCGCGCCTACCGGTGCCTGAGGGGAACCCAGCCAGCGCCTCACCCTGTCATTAAGGAGAGTTTAGCCTCAGGCGGACAGGCTGACACACAGCCTGGAACTGGCTCCCAGGGAAAAAATGTGTGCTCCTTGGGAGTGGGGTGCGGTGGAGCAGAGCCCGTTTGCTCTGTGCGTCCATCATTGGGCTCCTCAGAGGCCCTCGGGGAGGCAAGCAGGAGGGCGGGTGCCATGGCCACTGGGAGTGGGGGGAGGGTTAAGATGCCACGTTTCCTAAGCAGGTGTGCGGCCAAGGGTGGCAGCTCACGTAAGTGGCCTTTGTGTTTTTCAGCACGTGGCATGCCTGGATGTCCCTGCCCTGGTTGTGGCATGGCGGGACAGAGGCTCCTCTTCCTCGCTGCTCTTGCCCTAGAGCTCCTGGGAGGGGCTGGGGGTTCCCAGCAGGCCTTCCGGAGCCGGGGGGTGGCAGCGGCCTGTCGCCTGGACAATAAGGAAAGCGAGTCCTGGGGGGCCCTGCTGAGCGGAGAGAGGCTGGACACGTGGATCTGCTCCCTCCTGGGCTCACTCATGGTGGGGCTCAGCGGGGTCTTCCCATTGCTCGTCATTCCCTTGGAGATGGGGACCACGCTGCGCTCAGAAGGTGGGTGACCCTCCTCTGGCACCAAGGGGCAGCCGATGGCGTGGGAAACATGCTGCTGCTCTTCCTGGGAGAGCCGGGTCTCTGGTCCCGAGTGGCAGTGTGTCTGTGGTGGAGGGTGGGGACCCAGCACAATTCCTCACCTTGGTCCAGTGAGCCAGGGTGTGCCGTGCTCATTCGTTCATTAGTTTGTGCATCTGTTTATTCTGAAAGATGAAAGTCAGCAAACATTCACTGTGAAGCAAGAAACAAGGCTGGAAATAGGATGCCGGGCTGCCTGGTTTCAAATCTTGGCTCTGCCACTTACCATTTGGGTGGTATTGGGCAAGTTCCTTAACTTCTCTCTGCCTTAAGCTCCCAACCTTAAACGTGAGGATAATAATAGTATCTACCTCATAGGCGTTATTGTGACGATTAAATGAACTAACGTAGGCAAAGCACTTAGGAGATGGCCCCGGTGCAGGGACGGGGCTCCGTGTTTGCGAGCCAGTGCTGGGCGTCGCGCTGCCTCTCGCTTCAGCCCCTGCTCACAGTGCAAGAGGGCACTCAGACCCAGAGCCCCTGGGGCGGCCTCACCCAAGAACACGTGAGAGGCTGGTAGCTGGCCTGCCTCTGGGGAGGGGGGCTGGGAGGTGGGTGCAGGCCTGGCAGAGGCTTTTCCTTGGCTGCGCATGTGTCCATAGGTGACATGCTATAATGAAAGCTAAAGAAGATCAGATGGGGAGCTGCTAAAAATGCATGTGCCTGTCACCCCCACCCAAGAGTATGACATAGTAGGTCTGGACCAGGCCCCGGGAATCTTTGAAATGAGGGTCCCCCAGGGGCTCATGCTGCCTGCCAGGCTCCAGGAACTGTTCATTCAACAGATGGTTATGAACGCAACTGTGCCAGGCACTGGGCTGAGGGCTGGTGCCCCAGCTGTGAACAGGGCCCTCTTCTACTGTCTTGGCCTGTGTATCAGTTCAGCCCCTCTCATAGCATCCCTGAGAGGCCAACCTAGGGAGGACTTGGATTATTAGCTCTATTTTACAAATGGGGAAGCACAGGCACAGAGAAGTTCTTGGAGGAGCCCAAGGTCACACAGCCTGGAAGCAGCAGCTTCCCCCGGGATCCCACCCCACCACCAAGCTGCCTCTTCCTCCTGGGCCTCAGTTTGTCTGTCAAACCAAGGGTTTCGATACGGCCCCCTGAGGGCACTTCTAACGCTGGATGTTGCACGTCTGCACAAGTCCTCAAATCTCTGCCACTTTTCTGAGAAGAGAAACATTCCCACTTAATAAGCACTTGCTATATGTATTGTTGTTTAATTCAGGGGTCCCCAGCCCCCGGGCCGCACAGCAGGAGGTGAGCGGTGGGCGAGCGAGCGAAGCTTCGTCTGCCGCTCCCCCTCGCTCGCATTACCACCCCCGTCTGTGGGAAAATCGTTTTCCACGAAACCGGTCCCTGTTGCCAAAAAGGTTGGGGACCGCTGGTTTAATTCACACAAGATCCCTATCAGTTAGATACAATTGTCCCCAGTTTACAGATGATGAAATTGAGTCCCAGAAGTAATCTGCCCAAGGTTACCAGCTGGTGGGTTGGGGAGCTGGGACCCGTCAGGCCCCCAAGCCCAGTCTCTTAACCCTGAGGCAGTAGTGGCTCCACAGTCGGCCTGCAGGTCGTGGTGTGTTCCTGCTGGGCACCAGCCCTTACTGGGGCTGAAGGGTTGGGGACCCAGGAAGGCCAGCAGCCCAGGTCCAGCCTCCTGGAGACTTGCAGTCTGGTTGGGACCACACTAGGAGCCCAGTAAGCTGGGTGGGGCAGAGGTCAGGCCAGGGGCTCTGGTGCCCCAGCTCCCAGATCCCACATCTCTGCCTTGTAGCTGGGGCCCGGCGCCTGAAGCAGCTGCTCAGCTTTGCCTTGGGGGGACTCCTGGGCAATGTGTTTCTCCACCTGCTGCCCGAGGCGTGGGCCTACACGTACAGTGCCAGCCCTGGTGAGTGAGACCACAGGCCGGGGGCAGGAGGGTGGCTGGCAATAGGTGGGAACTGGTGCCCATGCCAAGGGGTGGCCTAGGCCCTGCCTGCTCTGCAGAATGACTGTGAGGGGGTTCTGGACGTCTGGCAGGGAACTTGTCCTGGTCCCAGTGCCCTAGTCCCTATGGGAGTTCCTGGGGCCCAACTGCCCCACCAGCCAGTCCTGGCACCCTGCCCCCGTCACTGCCCTGGACTAGGTCCCATCCCAAGTAGCCCCCCTTCTGTGCCCTGGCTTGGCCTGGTGTGTCAGTGCTGCCCCCTGCAGGTGGTGAGGGGCAGAGCCTGCAGCAGCAACAGCAACTGGGACTGTGGGTCATTGCTGGCTTCCTGACCTTCCTGGCGCTGGAGAAGATGTTCTTGGACAGCAAGGAGGAGGAGACTAGCCAGGTGAGCCCCAAACCCCAGAGGCTACCCAGGTCAGCCTCTGCTCTGTGGTGGTGCCAGGGCCTGGAGGCCCAAGTTCTGAGTCAAGCCCTGAAAAGAGGGTCTCTTGGCCCTCTCCTGGGAGCTCTGGGAGGCTGGGCCAGCTTGTTTGGAAGGATCTGGGCATCAGCCCCTGCCGTGGCTTGTTCTCATAGACTAAGAGTGAGAGCAGTGTGGGAGGCAGAGGGTCTGCTGGGTTTGGGGGCACCCGGCTGGTTGAGCAGCAGAGTCCAGCCAGGTAAAAGGGGTGTTCCCTTTTTATCTGTTCTCCATCTTTCACTCCCTTTCTGTCCACCCTGGCCAAGTGGGGGGCATCTAATGTCACATCTCCCTCCTTCTCCTGGCCCTAGGCCCCCAGCAAAGACCCTGCAGCTGCGGCCGCGCTCAGTGGAGGCCACCATCTGGCCCAGCCAGCTGCAGGGCCCGGCCTGAGCGCCGCGGTCCGGAACATCAAAGTGAGTGGCCCGCCCAGGGACCCCTCCTCCTGCAGCCGCCCCACCCCAAGTGGCCGGCCCAACTCAGCCCTGCCTGCCCGGCTTAACCCAGCTTTCTCTCCCCTCGCCCAGGTCAGTGGCTATCTCAACCTGCTGGCCAACACCATAGACAACTTCACCCACGGGCTGGCTGTGGCTGCCAGCTTCCTTGTGAGCAAGAAGGTGAGTGGGGCTGGGGCAGTGGGACGCAGGCCCTTCGGTGGGAAGGGTGGTGCCTGCGTTAACCAGTGGGCTCCGCCTCCAGAATAGGTCCCCAGGCATCTCCTTGCTCCCTCCATCACAGCACCCTCAACTTCGCCTCCCTGCTGCTCTCCTGGACACGGCCTCCTTCTGTCTCCACCACCGACTGGTCTGTTCTTGCTGCGAACACTCCTTGTTGGGATCACAGGCCTCTGCCAGGCTGCTATGCTTGGCCCCTGCCTGCTTCTAGATGCTTCTCCCCCCCACCTCCTCCCTCTGCCCTCTGCGCTTTGGCCCCAGGGTCTGCCTACTCTTGAACTGGCCAACCTCTCTCCCCTCTGGTAGCCTCCAACTCACTGCTGCCTCTGCTTGGAATGTTCTTTCTTCCACTCTTGGAACTGCTATAGCTCCTCATCCCTCAGGCTTCAGCTTAAAGTGCACGTTCTCAAAGAGGCCTTTGCTGATCCCTCACCTCAGTTAGGCCCATCATGTCCCATGGCACCCAGTCCATCCTTTCCGCATAGCACCTGTCATGGTGTGTAATCACATGGTTCTTTGTTTACTCAATCCTTGCCTCTCCACTCCAGGCTGTTAGCTTCTTGGGGGCAGGTTCCTTGTCTGTTTTATTCGCTGCGATATCTCTAGCAGCCAGATGGTACCCAGCCAGGGCACCCAGAGCAGAGTAAATGTTTGTAGAATGAGCAGACAAGTGGGTGCCCTAGCCCTCGGCACAGACCCCACAGACTCCCTCCCCTCCCTGCAGATCGGGCTCCTGACCACCATGGCCATCCTTCTGCATGAGATCCCCCATGAGGTGAGTGCCAGAGGGTTCCCATGATCGGCCATGTGGGTGTGGAGCTGGGGGCAGGGATTTGGGGTGGGGCTACCCAGCAATGGTGGGCTTGGGCGGCTGGGCCACAGAGGCCTGGAGCTGCTCAGCCTACTAGGCTGCAGCCACCGTTTCAGCTGTGCTCCAGCATCCTCGGGACGGGGGACCCAGCCAAGGGGATGCGGGCTGGGGCACGGGGTGGTCCCAGCTACAGGGCGGGTGCAGGGGGCTCGTTGTGCGTGTCCATGCCTGAGATGCTCAGGGGATCTGGCCCCACTGGGGCCCAGAGTGATCGTCTGGACCTCCCCTCAGGTGGGCGACTTTGCCATCCTGCTCCGGGCCGGCTTTGACCGATGGAGCGCAGCCAAGCTGCAGCTCTCGACGGCCTTGGGGGGCCTGCTGGGCGCCTGCTTCGCCATCTGTACGCAGTCCCCCAAGGGAGTAGGTACGGGCGTGGTGGGTGGTGGCGGTCAGCAGAGGGGCCCCAGCCAAAGGGCACAGCTGCCCTGACCCTGGTGTCCAGGCCAGGTTCTGCCCCACATCCACCCCGCGGGAGGGAGTGTAGTACACATGGCTCCCCTGGACTCCCAGCCAGTCAGGGCTTCTCCTGCTGCAGAGGAGACTGTGGCCTGGATCCTGCCCTTCACCTCTGGCGGCTTTCTCTACATCGCCCTGGTGAACGTGCTGCCCGACCTCTTGGAGGAAGATGACCCATGGTGAGCTACCCACTGGCACTGCCATTCGCAGGGCCTCTGCCCCCCGCGTCTCGGCCAGTGCCACCCCCTGAGCCCCTGCCCCTCTCCCCACAGGCGCTCCCTGCAGCAAGTGCTTCTGCTCTGCACGGGCATTGTGGTGATGGTGCTGTTCTCGATCTTCGTCGAGTAACTGTCCCTGACGCCCCACCCCCTGCACAGCAATAATAGACTCAGATCGACTCTGTGACCGTGTGTGTGTGTGTGTGTGTGTGTGTGTGTGTGTGTGTGTGTGTGTGGCAGACAGCAAGCGAGTCCTCCGAACTGACAAGAGGACAGGGTGTGTGTGTGGTGTGCACATGACCGTGTGCAAGACCGACACTGTGATCCCTCGTGTGCTGGGCCCAGGGCCCGATGCCCACGCCTGCCCCCAGCCACATGGCGGTCTTCTCTCCTTGCCCCCGTCACCTTGCACCCCCTGGAGTCGGCAGTGAGGAACAGGAACACTGGTCCCAAGCAGAGGCCTCTGCCCACCAGGACGCCAGGAGGAGTGGGAGCAGCCCAAGGAGCCCAGGGCTGCAGGGAGCCCCAGAGCTGTCTCCTGCTGGGGCCTCATGGGTCCCTGGCCTGAGGAAGTGAACCTCTCTGCACATGCACGCAGCCCTGGGCAGCCAGGAACCAAGACTGGGGCGCCTCCTCTCTGCTGTGTCCAGTGTTCTGGCCCTTCCTTCACCAGCTCCAAGGCCAAAGAAAGGAGAGGCAGGTGCTCGTGTAGCCCCCAGCACCACTCAGCACTGACAGTTCTACCCCTCCCAGCATGGAGCCGGGAGATGCTTTCTAAGACCTTTTCCCCCTGGCTGCTTGCCCTGGCCCAGCTCCTGTTCCCCCAGGGAATGCTCCCTGGCAACGCCAGCGGCTCTGCCACCTCCAGCTGCCAAACAGCAGCCAGCAGGGCAGTGAGCAGCCCCGGGCCAGAGGCTTCCCAGTCGGCTAAGGGATGCTCGTGCCAGCACAGGGTCCAGGCAGACACTCGGGGGGCGGGAAGAGAGTGAGCAGTGGCTGCCCCACCACCACCCCTGGCCCGGGCCCCTTTTCCTGTCCCACTGTGGGTGGGGCTAGGCGGGGGTGGCGAGAGCTCCACGTTGTCAGCACTCAGGAATGTGCTCTGGGGATGCTGAAGCCATAATCCCCAGCTATTTCCCTTGGCTGACGCCCAGGTACTCAGCTGGCCCACTCCACAACCAGGCTCCAGCCCTGCTACTTGACCGTGGGCGTCTTGAGAGTAGCCATCAAGAGGGTCTGAATGGTTTTACGGCAGTTTTGCTGTGGTTCCATTTGTATCTGTAAATACCTGTTCTATAGATGAGATGCAAATAAATATACACAAACTGGCTGCCTCTGTTCTGCATACCAGAGCCCATGGTCAAGCAGGGCTTTTCCGGCCACCCCGTGCTCCGGCCAGGTTGGCTGCTCTGCGGGCCCAGCTCCTGCAGGCCGCCCAGCTGGTCTCCACCGTCATCCCCACCTTCTGGGCCTCCTGCTTCGTCTCTGAGCTGTTACTTTTGGGGTGCTTCAGAACAGGGGATACATTTCATGTTTCCCTGGTTTATTTTGTTGTTAGCTTTTTATGCCAATAAAACAAGCCTGGCTCTAGGCCATTATAGCCCGCGTCACCCCCAAGGGTGGTGCCCTCATAGACCTACGAACCAAGGGCTTTTTCCTGGCCTGCCCCCTGAGTAATTTTAACCGCGGAAGGGAGCTCCATCCACAAAGTCATCTCCAGGTTTGGCCTCTATGAAATATTTTTCATTAAAAAGAAAGAAAAAATGAGATCTTTATTCTAAACCATACCCTTACCGCCAATGAATATGCTGAGAATGAAGACAGCATCAGGCCCCGGGGGAGCTGCTCCCCCAGTGCTGCTAAGAGACAGCAGAAGGGGGAAGTGGAGTCCCACTTCCTCTCCTACCTTCAGCAGCCTGTTGGCGGACAGCGCGTCCGCGCCACATCACGCAGGCTGTGAAGCCCAGATGGGCTGTATCCTCAGCTGGGAGTGCCTGACTCAGTACTTTCAGCAAAAAGGGCTCTGCTTCACCCGATTGTGACACGCCCAGGACCTGGTGGCCTGACAGAAGCGAGGAAGGAACCCAGGGCTGTCCTGGCAGTCCCCACCTCCCCTGAGCAGGCCCTGGGGCTCCTCGCGTGCTGGGTGACAGATGCACGTGAAGTCATGGCACTCTGCCCGCTGAAGGAGGCAGTGGGGCCCCATTTATAAATGAGGACCCCAAGGTCAGGGTTGAGGGTGGTGCTTGCAGCTTCACGCAGGTGGGCGCAGGGGGTCGGGGTGAGAGATACAGGAGCAGGGGCAGCTAAGCCCAGGACAGGGCCAGAACAAGAGCACTTCTGAGGCTGTGCTGAGGCTCCTCCAGGGGATGGGAAGTCGGTGGGATCACCAAGGACAGCGCAATGGGGGTGCACCCTGATACTCTGGATGGCGGCTTGGAGGCGGTGGGACTACAGAGAGGGGAACTCCAGACAGGCCGGCAGTCAGTAGCTCTGTGACTGTGGGCATGTCCCTTCAGGGGAAGTGATGGGAAAAGGAGGGTAAAGGGCTTCTGCCAGGGGGCAAGTGAGAGCTGATGGAGAGTTCTAAAGGGCTGCTGCTTTGAAAGGCCATTCAGGGGGTGGTTAAAGCAGCTAAGACAGCACAACATAAACTAGGCTTTATTCTTAGTCCTGGGTTTGACGCCTAGCTGTGCCATCTAAGAGTTGTGCAATCCTGGACCAGTTGCTCGAAATGCATCTATAAAGCGGGGCTACCCTATTGGTAGTTGCTGTGATTAACTAGATAAAACCATGCACATGACCTGCATAGCATGTGGCTCAGGGTGAGCGCTCAGTGAACGGTGAACCACGAGGTCAGGTTCCAGGTCGGAGACAGAAGAGGATGAGCAAGATGGTAAAGGAAGCTGACAGGATGTGGGGCTGACGGCAGAACTGGGGGTGGGAGAGAACACGGCATGACCACGCTTAGGCCTAGAAGGGCTCTTGGAGTAGACCTTGCTCAACGTTCATTTTTCAGCCAGAGGAAACGGGCCAACAGCTAAAAGGGACGTGTAGAGAAACAGGAGGCTTGGGGGCCAGGAAACAAGGGAGCAAAGACCCAGGGCTTTATAAGGAAGTGAGGCCTAGGGCCAGAGCACCAAAATTCAAAAAAGAAGGGAAAAACTAGTCTGGCTTCCCTTCAGGCCTCTCACACTAGAGCTGCAGCACCACAGGCCTCAAAAGCTCAGAGAGGCGGGTCAGGGAATGTGGAGAGAGAGAGGTCTGGAGGGACATGATGGGGGAGGCAGAAGACCCCGGGGAACAACTGTGGCACACGCCCACCCCTCCAAGAGGGCCTCAACCCGACAAGGCGTTTGAGGCCCTCAGCTGTCTCAGGTAGCAGCACCTGGGAAAGGGGCCTCCTGCATCTGCCCCTACTCCTCTACCCAGAGCCCAGGGAAGGCGAGCCAGACAGGTGGTGGCAGGAACCTGAAACCATCCTTTATTACGAATTTTAACCAGCAAGAGGCCAGAGAAGAGGTGTGGCAGGCGACCCCTCAGGCGTAGTACTGCAGGTTGGCTTTCTTCTTGGCCTGCACCTCCAGGATGCCCTCCATGTAGTCCTCGTGGGTGAGCTCTGTGGCGCCCCTGCGCAGCGCGATCATGCCCTGCACCCAGGACAGACAGGCTCTAGGGTGCCTCCCCAGACCCCCGCTCGGCTCCCAGAGGCCTCCACCTTCTCAGCCTCTTCCCCTCAGCAGCCTCCAGCAGCCTGCCCAGGGGAGGAGGCACAAAGCGCCCAGCCACTCGGCCCACCACTCACCGCCTCCACACACACGGCCTTGCACTGGGCCCCGTTGAAGTCGTCTGTACAGCGGGCCAGCTCCTCGTAGTTCACGTCAGGGCTGGGAGGTGGGGAGGTATCACAGGGCTCAGCCACTTACGGGAGTGGGTGGGGGAGCCCAAGTCCTCCCACGTGCCTCCGTCAAGCAGCGAGGCCAACTCGCCGCCATCACGGGCGACTCCCTTCCCCACTGTGCCTTGTTCTCTTCTCCACACGAGGGGGAGAGGAACGGAGGAAGGTCAAAGCAGATTAGACCAAGTTACTCCTAGTGTCTCCTGAGCGCTACCATTCTAGAAGTCTGCGCCCGAGACTCGGGAATTCAGCCTGAGGCAGAGGAACAGGAGGTTGTGGAGACAAAAGAGCCATCTCTGTCTCCCAAGCAGCATGGGCCCTGAATCAGCACAGCGCTGCTGCTGCCACTTACTGATCTCATGCGCCAAGTACTGCACTTGACACTGCCGCAACCCCGAGAGGTAGAGTATCCCCAAGTCCCAGATAAGAAAACAGGCTTAGAGAGGTCACGCCACCTCCTGATGGTCACACAGATCTGAACCCAGGTCCACCTGGCCCCTGGCAGGACTGCCCAGGGCCATACTGGGCTGCGTTCATCTGCTGGGGCAGGGGTGGCCAGGAAACAGGGCTTCCAGCCTGCACACCTTCCGACCATGGGGGAGGGCTGTGGGGGGGGGGTGTGTGCAGGTGGGCCCAAAGGAGCAGAGCACCTTCAGTTGGGGCCTGGGCCCCAGCACGATTCTCTGTCGGGCACCTGGGGAGAAATGGAGGCCAGTGTGTGGAACAGCGCTCGGTGTGAAAGGGACATGGAGAGGGGGAGAAGCTAGGCCTGGGGAAGGTCAGTACAAAGAGGACAGAGACAGCTCTGCTGCTGCCCCTTCAGGTCTCAGCGCCTTGCTCGTGTCTTTGCCCACCTGACATTCATCTTTCGGGAGTGGATCTGCATGATTCTGGCCCGGGCCTCCTCGTTGGGCATCGGGAACTCGATCTTACGGTCCAGGCGGCCTGAGCGGAGCAGGGCAGGGTCCAGGATATCCACCCTGTTAGTGGCTGCAATTACCTGAGCAACAGGAGAAGCGGAAACTTGAAGGGTTCACAGACAGGCAACCGTCACGGCCACGACGGGCAAAGAGGTAGCTCAGGGTCCATATGAAACGGCAGCGAATTTTCAACACCGACCCCAACTCTAATTCTAGCTCCATCAGCTAGATGACAGAGAAGATCCCCTGACCTCTAAGCCCCACGTTCTTCACCTGCGAAGCGACAATACTCACCTTCACCTGGGTGTTCGGCTGGAACCCGTCCAGCTGGTTCAGAAGCTCGAGCATCGTCCTCTGCACCTCCCGGTCCCCGGCCTTCTCACTGTCAAAGCTGGGGCACACAGGAGGTCCAACACACTGGTGAGGACACAGCTCGGGACAGCCCTCTCCTCAACCGCCAGAAGCCCAACCCAACCCATCCAGGGCGGGGCAAAGTCTCACTCAACTTGGGGCCCCCAGCCCAGGGACCAGCACAGAAATGGTGTCAGGGACTGGAGAAGCTCCTAAGAGCAGGTGCTGGGCTTAAGATAAAACAGTGAGCGAAACCCACTGCCTGGCCTATGACCCTGATGAACATGCCATCATACCTGAGGTAAAACTTAGAAATACAGAGATCTGGCCCAGACTTGGCACATAACAGGGAGCCCAGGCAAGCGTCCCTGAGGAAGTGTCCCCTCAGGCTGAGATCTGAAGGCTGAAAACACATCGACTGGGCAACCAGCCAATGGAGAACAGGGGAAAAAGAAAAGCACATTCCAGAGAGGAAACAGCAGGTGCAAAATCTCTCCCACCAGACTGGGCCTGCAAACTGAGGGGACACTGTGGAGAGAGTCCAGAGGGAAGTGGAGGGGGGAAGGCAGGGACAGGATGAAGCTGGAGGGGAGCAGGGGCAGCCACACGGGGGCCTTGCAGGCCATGGCAAGCCCAGCATTTACCCCAAGAAGCAATGGGGAGGCCCAGGAAGGAAAAGCAGGATCTGTTTGCGTGAGGGACCGTGGGTGCAGCTGAGTGAAGTTTTGAAAGGAACATGCTGGCAGCTGTGAGGAGAAAGGATGGTCAGGGGAAAAGAAACGAAGCAGGGAGGCTACTTAGAAGAGAATTTAAGAAGTACAACCACAAGAACAGAGCCTCCACCATCCCAGGGGGAGTAGGGAACAGGGTGGGAGAGCTGGAATTGACAACAATCCCCTTGGTGGCACTCAGCACCCCCTTACCGCTTGGTGCCGATGGCATCCAGCTCATCAATGAAGATGATGGATGGAGCTTTCTCCTTGGCCAGGGCAAAGGCATCCCGGACTAGCTTGGCACCATCCCCAATGAACATCTGCACCAGCTGGGGGCCAGCCAGCTTCAGGAAGGTGGCCTGGGGCGGGGGTGGGGTTGACAGGTCAGGCCAAAGGCACAATGAGAAGCCCCTTTGATCTGAGCCCATTGGCAGAGCTTTAGCCTCCTCATCCCTCCCAAAGCACTCACCTTGGTCTGTGCAGCACAGGCCCGGGCCAGCAGGGTCTTCCCCGTACCTGGGGGCCCGTACATTAGCACCCCCTTTGGAGGCTGGATCCCTAAGTTCTCAAACTTCTCCTTGTGGTTCATTGGCAGGACGATGGCCTCCACCAGCTGCCAGGAAGAAGTCCTGGGTGAGGACAGTGAAGCCCTGTGGGCTCCTACAGCCCAACCCTGAATAGCTTCAACCCCTACCTGTAACCCTCCTACTCCAATTCACAGACCCTGCCCTCTCCTTCCCCCACATCCAGAGGACACAGAATGCTCGCTCCCATCGCGGCTGGCCATGGACTCCCCAGCAACAGATGGATATGGCAGAAAAGACACTGGGCCAAGAAAAAGGAGACTGAGTTCCAGTCCTGGCTCTGGCCCTAATCTTCTGTGATCCTGGGCAAGTCATTCAGTTTAGGAGATCTCAGTCTCCTAGACTGTTACATGGTCTCCTCCTTGCCTCCCAAGAATACTATGAGGATAAGAGGCACACTGGGGGAAAGTGCTCTGGTCACTGAAGTAGAGAAATACAAAAGGCTGGTGAGGCTGCCATGCCTCCTTCACCTCCTGAATCTGCTTATCCAGGCCCCCGATGTCACTGTATTGCTCTGTGGGCCTCTCGTCCACCTCCATGGCCTTCACCCGCGAGTCATATTCTGTGGGCAGGGTCTCCAGGATCAGATAGGAGTCTTTGTTCACACCCTAGGGACACAGCACAAAGACTTCAGATTTGTCTCAGCTCAAGGCCTACCTAAGTGGCTGGGTGACAGGTGTCTACAGAATGAAAGGCAAGATACGAGAGTGGGCAACACAAGAATCAAAAAGCAGGCAGACATGCTCTCAGACTCTGCAGGCTGCTCTGCAGACATTCAGGACCAACAATGACCTGGGCCTGGGGCAGGGGCTCAGCTAATCAGTGGGAGAAACCTCACTGGAAAAGCCCTGCCTGGGCTCAGGGACACCGCTCACCACCAAGTCTCCTGGCTTCAGCTTTTCAGCATCCACCAACCCAATCACAGGCAGGAAGTATGTCTGTAGGAAAGATTCCAGGTGCAGCCTCAGTTACTGCCCTTAGTAAGGCTCCCTGTCCCACATCCACCCCTCACCCTCCTCAGTTCTCCTATGGCTGGGCCGGCCTCACCTGTCGTGTAGAGGTTTTGATCACTGCACACTTGCCCTTCCTCTGGGAATCCAGGTCAATATTGGCACCATCTTCCTCTTGATCGTTAGGATCAACATCTAGAAGCTGGGAAAGGAAAAAGCTCAGATCAAGCCCAGCTCAGTTCCTTGAACTCTCCAGAGCCCAGTGCTTCTGAGGCTGAGACAATCTCTACACTGGCAGGGCTGGCCATCCCTACCTCACTCCTCAGACCAGCCCTGAGCCCAGCAAAGGTGTGGTTAATAAACCAGATTAGTAAGATCTCTGCTCAGGTGCTGCTTCTCTGCAGAGCCCATCTACCCCCAGGGAAAAATAACCAGTAGGAAAGGAAACATGTGAGGCTCCCAAGGCTTTTTCAGGCCCTATATATCTCCCCGGAAATGCACACTGGAGAGGAAACCCTAAGAGGTTTAGCTCTTATATGCAATTTAGGCCTCAAAACACCTACCCACTCTTTACCCAGTGGGCCCATCACAGGCTGTCCCAAGCCCCACTGACCCCTCTCTTCCCCTCCACATACACACACACCTCGATGACGTTGGAGACCAGGTACGGCAGAGTCTTGTTCACTTTGATTTTCTCACTGTTCTCTTTGATTTTGTCCTTCATGGCTTGGAGCTCGTGGGTGACTCGCAACACTTCGCTCTTCATGATCTGGGATGAGGGTGATTGGAGGCAAATATTCAGCTTTAGCTCAGCTTATCCTAGGGCCTTGTAATTGGTGAGCCTTATCCAGGCTGCCCGGGGGGACCCTCCTGCCCGCCTTCACTCAGCTCTAAGGCTCTCTGAATGCTCAGCACCTGTGTCCACAACCAGCAGAGGTCAGAACAGGAGACCAGTGTGAAAACCTCCTGGTGAAGTTTTAGTTGTACTAAAGGGAAAAGAGCAAGACTTTGAGTCACGCAAACAGATTTTAGGCTCTGCCTTTTGTTACAGGCTGCGTACTTCACCACAGTAAAACAAACAAACAAAAACTCTGAGCCTCAGTTTCCTCATCTGTAAAATGGGGATTTCCTAAAAGGATTCTTGAGAGGAATACTTAAAGACCTTGCTGGGAAAGGCAGTCTTGTGATTCCTTCTCTCAGGCCTGGTTTCCCATCACCCAGTCCCTCTTCTAGTCCCTTTTAAAGCTTAGTTTTCTTTTTTCCTGGTCCGAGAAGGAAACCGCGGTCCCCACGCCTCGCCTAGGGAGGCCGAGAACGACGTGAGCGAGGCAGGTGGATCACCAGGGCCTGCTGTGTGCGGGCTTCACTGCCTGACATAGGGGCTGTGCGCCCACCTTGATTTCACTGTCCAGCAGCCGCGTGCGCTGGATGATCTCTTCTGTGGACATCTTGAGTACCTCCTCCCCGATTCCATCTTGCTGTGCAAAACAAATTCGTCTTTCTTAAAGTCAGGTTAGTTAACTCAGGACTGCGAGTAAGCCCACTCCCAGCCTCAGTTAGCCCACTCCCCGCCCATAAAACCAGAATGGAGTCGGGACGCCTGCCCACATCCCAAGCGGTACCAACCCCGGGACCGGGCTAGACCTTGAACCCCACCCCCACCCCCCGCCACCGCCTCCGCTTCCGACACGTGCGTCTCTCCACTGGCCCCAGCTCCAGAGCCCCCAGCTCTCCCGGCGCGCACCTCAGCCTCATCCCACACTGTCGCCATCTTCTCCTGCCGAGTCACTGGACTCTCGAGTTTCGGCAGCAGATTCACCCTCTGCAGGAGAAGGCCGAAGATCAGACTGGGCAGTAGCCGGGGCGAAAGGTTAATATTATCTCTCCTCACGCCTGCTCTTGATTAGTGCCAGACTCCTCCAAGTCCTGACTCTTGACGAAACTAGCTTCGGCCAGTTGCCACGGCGAAACTGCTTCTCCGACTTAAAAGATGAAGCCGAGGCCACAGAACCCGCCCCCACGGCTCCTGAAATGTTCTCGCCCCAGTCCTGTTGATGCCGGCGCGAGAGGCGAATTTGCTATTGGCTGGCACGAGCAGTGGGGCGGGGCCTGGATAACAAATGGAAAGGAGAGAGAGAAAAGACGAGAGCGCCCCGCAGGGCCCTTGGGAAATGTAGTCCTAATCTGGCGGGTAACTGAAAGAGTGCTTTTGAAGGGGGTTTTCAACCTCAAAATCTGGCCCAGTTAGGAATTAGGGGATTCCCCAAAGTGGGTGGGCCTCGTCCAATCAGTTGAAGGCCTGAATAGAACAAAAACCTCACCATCCCCTTAGATAGAGGGACCTTCTCCTGCCTGACGGCCTTGAGCTGGGACATGGGTCTTTTCCAGGCTTGGGACTTGAACTGAAATATCTTTTTTTTTTTTCTTTGATGTTGGGGGTATGAGTTTATTAATTAGTTAATTAATTTTTGCTGTGTTGGGTCTTCATTTCTGCGGGAGGGGTTTCTCTAGTTGTGCAAGCGGGGGCCACTCTTCATCGCGGTGCACGGGCCTGTCACTATCGCGGCCTCTCTTGTTGCAGAGCACAGGCTCCAGACGCGCAGGCTCAGTAGTTGTGGCTCATGGGCCTAGTTCTTCGCGGCATGTGGGATCCTCCCAGACCACGGCTTGAACCCGTGTCCCCTGCATTAGCAGGTAGATTCTCAACCACTGAGCCACCAGGGAAGCCCTGAAATATCATCTCTTATAGGGTCTTGTGTCTGCTAGTTTTCAGATTAGAATTTACACCATCAGCTCTACTGGTTCTCAGCCCTTCTGATTCAGACTGGAACTAAACCATCAGCATTCCTGGGTTTCCAGTTTGCCAATTTACCCTACAGACCATGGAGATTTCCCAACTCCATAATTGTGTGATGTCCTGATGAATATACCTCTTAGAGTCTGTTATTATGAAAAATGTTAAATATATTAAAAAGTTGAAAGAATAGACAATGAGTACCTGTATATCTTTCACCTAGATTCACTAATTGATTACATTTTGCATTTGCTTTTGCTCTGTTTGTGTATGTGTGTTTTTCTGGACCATTTCAAAGTAAGTTGAAGACATCATGACACTTCACCTCTAATATTTCAGCTTGTGTCTCCTAAGAGTAAAGACCTTCTAATATGTAACTACAACACATTATAGCATAATATATTGTCATACCTAAAGAATTTAATATTGATGTAGTAATATCTAATATATAATCCATATTAAAATTTCTCCAGTCATCTCCAAAATATCCCTTACAGCCTTTAAAAAAAAATCCTGGGCTTCCCTGGTGGCGCAGTGGTTGAGAGTCCGCCTGCCGATGTAGGGGACACGGGTTCGTGCCCCGGTCCAGGAAGATTCCACATGCCGCGGAGTGGCTGGGCCCGTGAGCCATGGCCGCTGGGCCTGCACGTCCGGAGCCTGTGCTCCACAACAGGAGAGGCCATAGCAGTGAGAGGCCCGCGTACCACAAGAAATAAAAATAAAATAAAATAAAATAAAATCCTGTATCAAGTCAAGGATCATACACTGCATTCAGTTGTCAGGTCTCTTTAGCCTCCTTTAGTCTGGAACAGTCACCCAACCTTTTCTGGTCTTTCATGACATCAACATTTTTGAAGCATCCAGGCCAGTTGTCTGGTGTAGTCTGTTCTCAACACAGCAACCAAAGGAATTATTTTAAAGCCTCATCAGATCATGTCACTCCTCTGCTCAAAACCCTGCAGCAGCTGCGAGACTCAGAGTAAAAGCCAAGGTCCCTACAACGGCCCCAGGTCCCTACAAAGGCCCAGGGCCCTGCAGGTTTTTGCCCTCCCACGATTTTCTCCGGGACCTCGACTCCCACTCCTTTCCTCCCTGCTCACAGTTGCAGGGCTCCTTGCTGCTCCGTGACCAGGCCAGGCCAGCTCCTATCTTGGACTCTGTTCCATTCTCCTGGAATGTTCTTTCCAGGGTATTTTCTTGCTTCACTCCCTTACCTTTGCTCCTTCAAGTCTTTGCTCAAATACCTCCTTCTCATCCAGACCCACACTCACAGCCTTTTAATGCTGCAGCCTGCCCTGCTGGGTCCTTCCTGTCCCCACGTTCCTCAACCCCTTACCCTGTGCTGCTTTTTTTTTTTTTTTTTTTTTTTCTTTCACCGTTTTTTTCTGACCTCTCCCGTTGCGGAGCACAGGCTCCGGACGCGCAGGCTCAGCGGCCGTGGCTCACGGGCCTAGCCGCTCTGTGGCATGTGGAACCTTCCTGGACCGGGGCACAAACCCGTGTCCCCTGCATCGGCAGGCAGACTCTCAACCACTGCACCACCAGGGAAGCCCAAAAACTCCACATTTTTTTTTTCTCTTGGCCGCACCAGGCATGTGGGATCTTAGCTCCCCAACCAGGGATTGAACCCATTCCCCCTGCATTGGGAGAACAGAGTCTTAACCACTGGACCACCAAGGAAGTCTGCTCTTTTTTTTTTAATTATATATTTTTAGTTTGAAAATAATCTCAAACCTAAAGAAAAGTTGCAGATACAGTGCAAATAATTTTTTTTCTTGCATCATTTGAGGGAAAATTGCTGACGGGATACCATATCACCTCAAATACTTTGGTGGGAATTTCCTACAATCCAGGACATTTTGATACTTAAGCACAATACAACCTTCAATATCAGGAAGTTAACCTTGATACGTTTCTACCATTTAATCCTCAGACTGCATTCAAATTCCACCAATTGTCCCAGTAATGTCCTTCATAGCATTAAAGGACATACTGGTTCCGGACTTGGATCCAGTCCAGAATCAAGACCAGAATTAGGCATTGTATTTAGTTGTAGTTCTTTAGTTTCTTTCAATCTGGAATTGTTTCTCAGTCTTTCCTTGGCTTCATAACCTTGACACTTTTGAAGATTACAGTTACTCTGTAGAATATTTCTAAATTTGTGTTTATCTGGTGTTTCCTCATGATTTTACATTCAGGTGATTCATCTTTGCAGGAATAGAGATACTGAGTTTCTCTCTCCATTCATTCAGGTAGCAGTTGATTTCATTTTGCCCCATTACTGGAGATGTTAACCTTTCTCACTTGATTAATCCCGTATCTGCAAACCTTCTCCACTGTGAGGTTAATTGTTTTCCCCTTGAAATTAATAAGTATTTTGTGGGGAAGTACTTTGGAACTATGTAAATATCCCATTCTTCTTCATCAAATTTTTAATTTATTCATTTATTTATTTACATCAGTATGGATTCTTGTTTTATCCAATAAATCATTGCTATGGACTGAATGTTTGTATCCCCACCTCCAAATTCATATGCTGAAGGTTTAACCCTCAATGTAAGGTATTTGGAGATGGGATCTTTGGGAGGTAATTAGGGCTCAATTAGGTCATGAGGGTGGGGACCTCATGATGGGATTAGTGACCTATTAGTGATAAGAAGAGGAAGAGAGGAAGATCTTGCTCTCTCCCTCTCTGTACATAAGCACAGAGAAAATGCCATGTGAGCACACAGTGAGAAAGTGGCTGTCTGCAAGCCAGGAAGAGGGCCTCACCAGGAAGCAGCCCTGCTGGCACCTTGATCTTGTACTTCCGATCTCCAAAACTGTGAGAAAATAAATTTCAATTGTTTTAGCCACCCAGTGTATGGTATTGTGTTATGGCAGCCCGAGCTGATTAAGACAGTCATTATTAATGGGCCAGTGGGAGTCCATTCATTCTGGCTCCTGTGTCCTTTTGGGTTATCTTCATCATTCTTTCAGCTTTCTTTGCTTTCTGACATAAGATATTCCAGGTTCATCTTGTACTTTCCCTGGTCCAGGCCTAGAATCAGCCATTTCTCCAAAGAGTCTTGGTTCTATTAGTGGAACATGGTATTTAGAAGCCAATATCTGGGTGCTAGATGTGCTCATTGCTACTGGCATGTCACTCCCAGGCACGAGTGTTTGCGCACACACACACACACACACACACACACACACACATTTGTAACTATATTTATTTCTCTATTAAGCTATATATTTAGAAATCCAATAGTTCACACTAATCTCTACAATTCCACTTCAATATGACTGGGTCCCTTTGGTTTTCTCCCTTTCCTTATTTGTAACTCTCTTCTTCAATAGTGACCTGTCACCCATTACCTTTAATATGTTTACTTATTTGATCAACCCTTCTATGTGATCAAATTCTTACTGCCACTCCCTTCCAGGCACAGATCCTTCTTCAATCCATCTTTGTTCAAATGCCCCATGTGCATATGCCCTATTTGCTCTACTCAAGCTCTAACAGGGAATTCCCTGGTAGTCCAGTGGTAAGGACTCTGCAATTTCACTGCTGAGGGTATGGGTTCGCTCCCTGGTCAGGGAACTAGGATCCCACAAAGCCACGTGGCTCGGCCAAAAAGTTTAAAAAAAAAAAAAAAAGAAAGAAAGAAAGCTCTGACACCTCACACCCAACCTTCTCCCACTTGGGTTTCTCCTTAGCCCACTTAGGCCCCAACAGCCCATGCCAGCTGCCCACCTTACCTGACTTGGTCTCTGACACTCTGCACTGGACCATATTCCACCCACCACCACCATGTGGATGCTCTCCTCACTTTGCTCAGGCGCCTATGCTAGGCCTTTCTCCTCCAGGGTGTCCTCATCACCCTGCTCTGACTCTGACACACCACACCAGGCTTCCCTGTGCATAGCTGCCCTCCTTGCCCTGTTCAGGCTCCAGCTCCCAGACTGCCCATCTGCATGGATGTCTTCCTCACCTTTCTTGGCCCCAATACCCAGCACCAGGCCTTGTCCTCATGTGAACTCCTTTCTCCCCTTACTTGGGCTCTTACACTCCAGGATGAGGCACCCATGTGTGTGGGGACCCTTTTCTCTCCACACAGGCTCTACCTCCCCACACTGGGGCTTCCCTTGTGTGGACACTCTCCTCACCTAGTTGGGCTCTGATATCCCACACCAGGCCACCCCTCCACATGGATGCCTCTCTTGC